TAGTGATAATGAGGAGATACGGTGCCTGAATATTGTGACACGTTAAACCCTCCTAGTGATAATGAGGAGATACGGTGCCTGAATATTGTGACATGTTAAACCCTCCTAGTGATAATGAGGAGATACGGTGCCTGAATATTGTGACACGTTAAACCCTCCTAGTGATAATGAGGAGATATGGTGCCTGAATATTGTGACACGTTAAACCCTCCTAGTGATAATGGGGAGATACGGTGCCTGAATATTGTGACACGTTAAACCCTCCTAGTGATAATGGGGAGATACGGTGCCTGAATATTGTGACACGTTAAACCCTCCTAGTGATAATGAGGAGATACGGTGCCTGAATATTGTGACACGTTAAACCCTCCTAGTGATAATGAGGAGATACGGTGCCTGAATATTGTGACACGTTAAACCCTCCTAGTGATAATGAGGAGATACAGTGCCTGAATATTGTGACATGTTAAACCCTCCTAGTGATAATGAGGAGATATGGTGCCTGAATATTGTGACATGTTAAAACCCTCCTAGTGATAATGAGGAGATACGGTGCCTGAATATTGTGACACGTTAAACCCTCCAAGTGATAATGGGGAGATATGGTGCCTGAATATTGTGACACGTTAAACCCTCCTAGTGATAATGGGGAGATAAGGTGCCTGAATATTGTGACATGTTAAACCCTCCTAGTGATAATGGGGAGATACGGTGCCTGAATATTGTGACATGTTAAACCCTCCTAGTGATAATGAGGAGATACAGTGCCTGAATATTGTGACACGTTAAACCCTCCTAGTGATAATGAGGAGATATGGTGCCTGAATATTGTGACATGTTAAACCCTCCTAGTGATAATGAGGAGATACGGTGCCTGAATATTGTGACACGTTAAACCCTCCTAGTGATAATGAGGAGATACGGTGCCTGAATATTGTGACACGTTAAACCCTCCTAGTGATAATGGGGAGATATGGTGCCTGAATATTGTGACATGTTAAACCCTCCTAGTGATAATGAGGAGATACGGTGCCTGAATATTGTGACACGTTAAACCCTCCTAGTGATAATGGGGAGATATGGTGCCTGAATATTGTGACATGTTAAACCCTCCTAGTGATAATGAGGAGATACGGTGCCTGAATATTGTGACACGTTAAACCCTCCTAGTGATAATGGGGAGATATGGTGCCTGAATATTGTGACACGTTAAACCCTCCTAGTGATAATGGGGAGATACGGTGCCTGAATATTGTGACATGTTAAACCCTCCTAGTGATAATGAGGAGATATGGTGCCTGAATATTGTGACATGTTAAACCCTCCTAGTGATAATGGGGAGATACGGTGCCTGAATATTGTGACATGTTAAACCTCCTAGTGATAATGGGGAGATAAGGTGCCTGAATATTGTGACACGTTAAACCCTCCTAGTGATAATGAGGAGATATGGTGCCTGAATATTGTGACATGTTAAACCCTCCTAGTGATAATGAGGAGATACGGTGCCTGAATATTGTGACATGTTAAACCCTCCTAGTGATAATGAGGAGATACGGTGCCTGAATATTGTGACATGTTAAACCCTCCTAGTGATAATGAGGAGATACGGTGCCTGAATATTGTGACATGTTAAACCCTCCTAGTGATAATGAGGAGATATGGTGCCTGAATATTGTGACATGTTAAACCCTCCTAGTGATAATGAGGAGATACGGTGCCTGAATATTGTGACACGTTAAACCCTCCTAGTGATAATGAGGAGATACGGTGCCTGAATATTGTGACACGTTAAACCTCCTAGTGATAATGAGGAGATACGGTGCCTGAATATTGTGACACGTTAAACCCTCCTAGTGATAATGAGGAGATACGGTGCCTGAATATTGTGACACGTTAAACCCTCCTAGTGATAATGAGGAGATACGGTGCCTGAATATTGTGACATGTTAAACCCTCCTAGTGATAATGGGGAGATACGGTGCCTGAATATTGTGACACGTTAAACCCTCCTAGTGATAATGGGGAGATACGGTGCCTGAATATTGTGACACGTTAAACCCTCCAAGTGATAATGAGGAGATACGGTGCCTGAATATTGTGACACGTTAAACCCTCCTAGTGATAATGGGGAGATACGGTGCCTGAATATTGTGACATAATCACAAAGTCCCAAATTTCAGGCAATGATAAGGCAAAGAATTTGATTTCTGACTCTTTAACTATTCTAGGTCAAGTGCAGCTTGATTAAGTGTCAAAAGGTATTTAATTAGACCTCAGATAAATAACATGGGCAACATTATCGCAAAATACATCCGTCACAAAAGCTTTTGACAGAGATGTGGGTATTATAGAAAAGCATATAGGAGATATATTTTAGGGCAATATCCGGAAAAAATATGGATATTTTATCATCTCTAGTGACCTTGCAAATATTAACCTAAATTACATGAGTCACACTTGTAGTCATGATAGTTATCATTTGTGTTAAATTCATCAATAAATGATAACAAAATGGTCCCCGTACACAAACTTTGACCTCTCTATGTGACTTTGACAGCAGGGATCAGAAAAATGTGCGAAATAAACCCTACCATGGTAAACATTTGACCAAAGTAACATTAAAATCCCCTGATAAATGAAAAATTTCAGGTCAGAACAAACATTTTTCAATGACTTCTTAGTGTGACCTTAACCTTTAACCTAGAGAATTGGTTCATGCACATTTCACTGCTTCTCATAGTGGTGAACATTACTTATTTTTTAATTGTACACAACATGTTCTTTCAGTTTTTCAAAGAAGAAAGAAGTCGACAAGTGAACCCAGCTGTTCCCACAACCAATTTTGTTTGGGCCAATATGAAAGGAGAGCCTGTACCTTGGCCAGTGAAAATAACAAAGTTTGACAAGGAATCACTATGTGACCAGTTAATTGCTGTCAACAATAAATTATTGTTTCCAACCAAAATAGAAAAAAATATTTGTTATCCAACATTGACTTGTAAAAGCCAATTGAAAGTGGGCGTGTTAACTGTAAGGCGGTTATTGTTCACATATTACAATTTTATACAAAAATACATATTTTGCTTGCTTTCATCGCTCACATTTATTTTGCATAATATTGTAATGTATGAACTATAACCTACACTTATTGTCAGGATTTTCTACATTCATGCAATAATCTTATATTTTGAGAGCTAATTTCATTTACATAAACTTTGTCAAATAATCATGTTACATTTTAGGGTAACAGACCAGTGCCAGTTTTAATACCACCAGATGCCAGAAAACCTTTAGAGTTTCTTGCCTTTTATACTATTAGAAATGAAGCCAATATCCAGCCTGGTAACAAATATCTCTTTACTAACAAAGGTGAGTTTTTGTTGTAGCTGACGTAATCTGTAATGGTGTACTCATTTAGTGATAAACATAGCTACCAATGAAATTATTTGATGCATTTTGATAACATGAAACCAATACAGTATAGCAAATAAAGCAGTACTTATTCATTTTAAAGTTGTGATGAGATGAAACATCAGAGCAATAAATATTTTCTTAAAATTTGTATCACTGATTTTTACAGGTTATTATCCTGCAAATTTGTTTAAATTGCAATAATCAGTAGTAATGGTTTAGAGTATATCTTGCCTTTAATGTTTACAGAGTTAATATGTAAGGGGTAGCAAATAATTCTGCTGCCAATTGATCAAATTCAGAATTTCAATGTTTAATGTTGAAAAAGTCTTTAATTGCTACTACATGTATAACAAATGAAAAATATAAGTTTGAAGTACATACCGGTATTATTAACCAATAAAATGTTAGTTTATTCATGTTGAGTTCATTTAATTTAGTGAGTGCTTATTCGAGGTCTTATGACGATTTAATTCATTGAAAGAAGACCTGTTGTGAATGTTCACTTACAAAACCAGCAAGAATTACATTGCAAATTATGTTTTATTCTTTTATTGACAGATAAACGGAAGAAAAAGAATCTTGTAAGCACGCTAGAGTGCTTTCGGGCAGATGCAAGATAAGCAAAAAGCTTTTTAGATAATGATTCAGAAGTGCCTTGGGAGAAACACATTCCTAAGGGCATGAAACCAAACCAGACATCCTTAGAGGAGAATGGTGAGTTTGGTACTTAAAGAAAAGGATTTGGATAATTATATCGCGGAAGATCAAGAAGCCTGCATCAGACCAAACCAGACATCCAGATATCGTTTTTAATTGTTCAAATTATTCATAAAAGACCAGTATTGACCATCAGCAATTTTTGTACGTTTATTTTATGTTTTTTCCTACAGATCTGCAGTGCGTTCAGTTACGATTAATGTTCGCCAACGTTCGCTAACAGTCGCTTACAACGGTCTGTTGGCGAAAAACGTTTTCGACCAATAGCTAACGGTTTTAGTATGTAGTTAGCGAGTGAAACAAAGATGGCGGATGAGTAAGTTTTGCTTATAATTTTCTTCAAAAAAAAATCAAATTTTGTCTTATTTAAGCAAATTTACTAATGAAATTTACTTGCAAATTACGGAAGATGATCGCTTTCACCCATAAACTAAATTGATATGATAAAATACTCGAAAAAAACGCGCAATATTTAGGGATCATTGAAAGTTATAAAAACAACAACGTTATAAAAGAAATCTAGGAAAATGATGTTTTTAAGTGTTGATGTACACGATAGGTTTGATTTTGGGTTGCGAAACAAAATAAAATCACATTTGCTTACTCCTAAAGTATTCTGTTTTATTAATTTCTTACTACTTATCCAAAACAAAAAATAATAATAGTAAAATTCACTAGACATGCTTACGATTTTTCTAACGTATTGATACTAGATTTTTATAGTAAATGAGGATTATTTCTTTGCAAATGTGTATGATTTTCAAAATTAAATTTTATAATGAGAGACTGTTGCTCGCTTGTGTTATTGAATCAGGGTTAGATTAGCCCTATTCCAACTCGGTCCACTTTTCAATATATTGGTTTGTTTTATAACTCTATTGTTGGAACCACATAATTAATATATTCATAAACATGGAAAGATGTTTTCTTAAATTATACATACATATAACATTATACATTATAACATGCAAGTAATCAGAAAAAGTTGTCTTGATATGTTTAATATGTTTCTTTTTTTCAAAAGTGGGCCGAGTTGACCTGTGCCGAATTGGATAGGGCCGAGTTGACTCTTTACCTTATTATACATGTTTAAAATCTGTGAAGCAAAATTCTGATAATACTCCTGGCATAGCTCGCATATACATGATAAAAGATAAGTTGCATTCAATAAACTTTGCACTCATTTTTTTATACATGTACGTTTGTATTTTCAAGTTAAAATCCTAGCTGGGAAATGACTTGCTAATCGTAATTCATTTTCCTTAATAAAGCCAGAGTATTGCTTATTTTGATAATATGATTATGCTTTCAGAACATTTCTAGTGAAGCTTACAATTGATAATGAAGAAGTGACTGTAAGTGTTATTGCTGATATTGTTGAAGCACTTAATTCAAATGGTAAGTTCTTATTCTTAATTGTTATTCAATAATGACTTTTATAGATAGACATGTCTTTTTGTATAATCTTGAGTCTTTTGTTTTCATTTTTCGATATAAAGTATGATTTATGAAATTGTTGTTCTTAAAAGAATTGCTGTTCATATTCATATTAAATGATAGCCTTAAATACTCGTCTCTTGATAGCTTTAAATGCCAAAACTTCGTTTTAAAGAATACTTTTACAATTATATCATAATTATAAATATGTTGCTCTGAGCTTTCTTCCTTGCCAAACTTAAACAAAGTGTAAAGAAGTATCACAGAGATGTTATGTATAAACTTATGGATTACATTTTAGCTCCTCTTTTCCTTATATTCAACATATGCCTACTAAATCTCCGGATTTGTTATATCTCTGTCTTTCAAAGATTTATCTGCCACTTAGCACAAATCGTTAAGACTTTAAGAGTCATCTTAGTTGTGCTACTCATAATCACTGTCATACAATTTAAATAACAAAGTTTAGACTTTACATTTTACTTAAGCCTGCATGACAAAGGTGAGAATTGAAACAATATCTATAGATTTTATGAAAACAATCCTGGTTTATTTTCCTAGCAACAAGTTAAAAATTACTTGTATGACTGCGAGTCACTTTAAGCACTGCTGTAAAACATGTTACGCTTTACTACCACATTTTTAAAAGGATTTTCAAAATGATTTTATTTTTTATGTTTATTGCAGATGCTATGGTATGACATCATGCATATGAGCTGGTGGCAAAGGCTGTGCAGAAAGACACAGGTAAACTTTTAAACAGTATCTTACATTCAATGTCTATTTAAATGTCAAATGTCTGGCAATTTTATTCTTTAAGATCAAAATTAATGTAGTACAATTTTTCTGTTTCAATATAGTCTACACCCATAAACATAGTTTAGATGTTCACCTTTAAAAATATTGATAAAGATATTGATCACTTATATGACAGCTATAATAGAGATTAATAATATTTTTTTCTAACATTAGAAAGTTTGAGATATACCATATTTCCCTTTTGTCTTAGCACTGAACAGAAATGTATCAGTTTAATATATTCATTATTCCCTTTTGCATTCGGGTACAAATAAAGTATCTCGGAATACTCAATAGTTTGTTGCTCATAGTCATGAATCAGCACAAATATTTCTGAATGTTTATCATTTTTGATTGAGAGATTAGTAATAATTATTGATTAAACAACTTGCGCATGATTAAAAATGTTACAAGGTAATTTTTCCTTCATGTTGAAATTTTGGTCTCTTTACTAATGTTCAACTTTGTTTTTCAGACTCTGAGAAAACAAGAAACGAGAGGCAAGAAGACCAACTAGCAGAAATACGACGTGAGAATGCAGATAGCGTTCAGCTTAATACTACCTAAGAAAATGACAGTCAACAGACTGATCTCTCCCAGAATACAAATCAAAACAGGGAGCAGTCAAGGTCAGTGTTGTTATTAGTGTATATTTATATATGTATACATGTCTCAAAAATGTCTCCAAACAGATAGTCTTCATTTAACTTTCTTGTCTGCTTCTATTTCAAAAATTAGAATATGGATTTGTCCGTCAGTTATGTTGTCCATCTGTCTGTACACTGACAGGTATCAATATCTCGATTTTATGTATTTATTCTTATATTAACGCACGTAAATCATTTAAGCAAGTAACATTGTTAAATTTGTGGTCACATCATCAAAACATTTTTTTTTTGTGTCCCCACAGGGTAGGGAAGGGGCATATGGATATGTCCTTGTCTGTCTCTCTGTAGTTACAAAACCTTGAAATGTGGGGGCATTCATGTGCATACACACATTTCTAACTAAAAAAAAAATCTTAAATTTAATACTGAGGACTAAACTCCAACCTGTTTACATTACAAGGAATCCATTTTTGCATACTGGTTTATGAATATGCAGATTTCCATTTATGACATGAATCTTTTACTTGTTTTATGTTTGTAGGTACAATCATGTGGAGTCAGGAGGCTGTCCTCCTTTTGATAAGTTTGTACTCTGAACATAAAGAGTTGTTCAATAACAACTTGTACAAACAAAAAGATGTTTGGATAAAAATATCTAAGGGTATAGAAGAGAAAGGCCACCACTTTCAGCCTCATCATTGTGACAGTAAATGGCGTGCATCAAAACACAGGTTAGTTGAACTTGATGTATATGTATCAGAATGAAATCTTAGTACAGTATCAGGAGGGGCATCCATGGCTGAGTGGTTAAAGGTGTTGGCTTCTTACCACTTGCCCCTCACAGCTCAGGGTGTGAATTCGTTCTTGTGAGAAAGCTATCCAGCTAACTTACAGAGCATTGGTGAATTTACTTAGGTGTTTGCTTGTTCCAGAACTAATACCCTAAGACAAACCTTAGGTTTTCCTCCGCCAGTCAAGCTGGAAAGTTGCCATATGACCTATACTGTGTTGGTGCAACATTAAACTCTACCCATCACCACTAAAGTATCAGCTGTCTCAAATGTCAGTCACTCAATAAATACAAAAAATGTATGTGCATGTTTGATTGTTGGTTTCAGTACATTTGTTGTCATTTCCCACAAGTAACCTATCTGATTCCGGAATTACAAGGCAGCTATTATCTATTTCTTGTAAATGACCAATCTCTTGTGTCTAATATCAATATCGGTGATTTGTCGCACTCACTGTTATAGAGCAGTTGTCATAGAGACCTTGTGCCATGTCCAAACTCCAACCAAACTGTTCTCATTATCTTATAAAAGTGTCACATTACTTTATATGAAGGAAGTCTGAATGGGGCCATATTTTTATATTATTGAATGCACTATATAGGAAAGCTGAGTTATGGACTTTGTAATTCTTATTTCCAAAAAAATAATTTTTCATTCAGCCTTTAAGTTCATTTTCTTACAGACACAAGGTTATCACAGATGACAATGGGAAAAGTGGACGTGGCCGACGTACCTGGCAGTATTTTGATGCCATGAACGAGGTTCTTGCTGGTGACCCAGCAGTGAGGCCACTTAGAGTAATGGGCTCTACAGAAAATGTTCGAGGTTAGCTTTCTATATAAATTTGAATTTTTGACATATCTTCCCTTGTTACACTTTTGTAGAGATTACATCACATGCATTAATATAAACTGAACTACTTGACATTTAGTAAGTGTTCTTAGACTTTATCTAATGACTCGTTGTGTGATGCATTGATTTGGTAAAAGGAAATAATTTATACCAACTTATAATTAGCATTTGAAGTTCGAAGGGGTCTGATGAGGCACTTGTGCAATATCTATATTTAGTAAATGGTTAACAGTCTTTTATTCTAAGGACACTGGCCCTGAGAACTGGAATTATTAAACTGTCCTGGAAAGAGTAAAAAACAGGCAATTTGAATGAACATTTAACATACATGTATAAAAATAATGACAGCCCTGAACTTAATGCATATATCTTTTTTGTAGAAACAACAGAGTTGTCGGAGACTAATAATAGAAGTAAGCCTCCACTGCCCCCAAGTACTTTGAGGATCAGAACTCCTTCACCTTCTCTAAGGCCTTCGTCACCCTCAACTCCGGTTAGAACCCACAGTCCATCACCATCACCATCTGACAATGGAGCAACTGGCGGTTCAGAGACTCCGGTATTAAATCGAAAGAGGAAAAGGAGTGGTGAGCCTCCAGAATGGTTCAGAGCCTATGCTGAGCAGGCTAATAGACGAATGGACTCTCTGGAGGAAAGCAATAGGCAAATGATTGCCATTGCACGAGAACGGAACAGCATTCTAAAGACCCTTGCTGAGGCTTTAGCCAAACAGTAGACTTGTTGTGTTCAGATGTTGATTTGTAAATGATATAAAAATTGAACTTTAAAATTGAGTGGACATGCTGTTTGTAGAGAAATGAATGATTGTTTGGAAATTTGCTATTTTTTGTGGTAAAAGTTTACTGAAATAAGTGAATGTATCTTTCATCCTTGTGATTGTTCAGAAACACTCAGTGATTCCCACCGACCTAGATGTATACTGGTAAGAAACCCATGTACGAGTGCTATACACTGGGCATATAGAACCAAGGGGTCTATTCAATTAGAGCTAGGGACTGGTTCCCGGATTCCTTAGCTGTCTCTGGAATCTGCTTAGGACCCTACTGGAAGTAAGTGCTTGCACTTTGTAGGTTATCCTTGACCGCTCAGTGTAAAGAAAATCAATCATGTAGCAAACCTTTGGTAAGCTATAGAATGCTATCCTTTGTAGTGATATGAGGTTATTAGTGTAAGAAATTAGGATTCGAATCGACTAGGCTGGTCGGACTACCAGATTGAAATATTCACTAGCCCAAAAAGACATTTCACTAGCACGATTCATTTGTTCAAAACAGTTGTTTATATTGCCTCTGAAAAAACAGTAGCCTGGTTGGGCTTGAAACTGTGAAAAGTAGGTAGCCAGAGGAGAAATTAAGTAGTCTGGGGCTATAGGACTACTGCTTATTTCAAACACTGGGTTATCATAATATATCTAGAAATAACTTATGGCCACTGGACAGACTTTCAATGTACAGTATTACATTCAAATTACAACTCCTTTCAATTATGTAGATGAGAATGTATGGTACATATAAGGTAGGAATGGGAGAAATTACTAGTATTTATACGAGTAATGACAAACAACATCTTGTGATATGTATAACAATTTAATTAAGTTCAGATTTTAAAACACTAACAACCTTTTTAATCTACATTCACACATCAATATGATAATTCTAGAGCCAAAATTAATGCCTCATTATCTTTTGTTTACATACAAGGATACATGTGCATTTAGATAATATTCATATTAGTATCAAGCAAAAATTAAGGAATTACAACTATGGTTCCAGTGGGAATAACAATAAAAATCTGAAAAGGTTGTCCGAGAGTCTCTGGTTCGAGTCTAGTCAGGCTGCCATTTTTCTTTTGGACTTCATGAACATTTAAGATTTTAAGTTTTGTAACATACTCCATGTATTAAAATTTGTCCAAAAATTTATAGTGTGTACAGAAAAAGTGAAATTAACTCGCAACTACATACAATCACAGTCCCACTTATGATGGCCATTCAGCACTGTCCTGTGGCAGGTACTAATTGACTAGAGTAGACTTACAGAATATGCTAAGAAATGAGCCTGTCACTAGCATAAGTATTAGCTTTTATAAATTTAATCACAATTATTGGATAATTCATACCATAACTTTCATGTAAGTTGATACAGCAAAGCATTATTTAACTAGAAATGTGTCCATAGGATACGAGTGCCCCAAACCGCGCCACTGTTCTGTCAATCTTTTTACTAAGTCAAGGGTAATAACTCTACAAATACTGGATAAATCCACAAGCGAAACCCCAGGTGCAAATCTAAATATGCTGAGCAACCTGCCCGTAATGTTTAATGAATATGTCAAATCCTTTTTGAGTAACTTGCGACACAAGTTGAAAATTGCAAAAATTTTCTAAGTGAAGGGCAATAACTCTAAAAATACTAAATAAATCCAGACGAAAATACCTGGTGCACAACTGCACATGCTGATCAATATTCCTGTAAAGTTACATGACTCTAGGTCAAATACTTTTTGAGTCACGTGCGACACGTGTTGAAAATTGCAAAATTTTACTAAGTGAAGGGCAATAACTCTGAAAATACTAAAAATATCCAGACGAAAAAACCCAGGTGCACAACTACACATGCTGATCAACATTCCTGTAAAGTTTCATGACTCGAGGTCAAATACTTTTTGAGTTACGTGCGACACAAGTTGAAAATTACAAAATTTTACTAAGTCAAGGGAAATAACTCTGAAAATACTAAAATTATCCAGACGAAAATACCCAGCTGCACAACTTCACATGCTGATCAACATTCCTGTAAAGTTTCATGACTCTAGGTCAAATACTTTTTGAGTTACATGCGACAAAAGTTGAAAATTGCAAAATTTTACTAAGTCAAGGGAAATAACTCTGAAAATACTAAAAATATCCAGACGAAAATACCCAGGTGCACAACTACACATGCTGATCAACATTCCTGTAAAGTTTCATGACTCTAGGTCAAATACTTTTTGAGTTACGTGCGACACAAAAGTGAACGGACTGACGGGACGGACGGACGGAAGGACGCACGGATGGACGGGGGTAAATCTAAATGCCCGCCACTAACGTGGGGGCACAAAAATGGGTCAAAGACAGAAAAGGCCGGGATGCATTTGTACACCAGATATCATGAGGCTGTGATGTTATGAAAAAAAAATTTCCATTGACCCATTAATGTCAAAAATTTAATTCAGTAAGTAAACAGGAAGTGGATTAGCTACACACCTAAAATCGAATCCCACTGTATGGAACCATGTGTCAATGCTGTATGCCAAATATCAAGAGGCTGTGATTAGTAGTTTCTGAGAAAAATGTTACGAAAATTTCCTACCATTGACCATTAATGTGAACAGGAAGTGGATGAGCGACAGACCTGAAATCAAATCCCACAGTATGGGACAATGTGTCAATGCTGCATGCCAAATATCAAGAGACTGTGATAAGTAGTTGCTGAGAAAACTGTTACGAAAAATTTCCTACCATTGACCATTAATGTTGAAAAAAATCTAACTAATTTAACTAAGTGGATAAACAGAAGTGGA